CTGAAATCTATATGAAATATTGCTACTCTTGGTTGCATTTCAGTCTCTCGGCTAAATATCTTTGTTTAATCCTCGGAAAAGTGCAAAAATATATCTATATTTTTTAAATTAACATTTAATAGCAGTAAGCATCATATACCGTATAATACAATAACGCATCCAACTGCCAACGAGAGTTCCTGAGCTTCTTGCCGCCATAAAAAGCACTTCGGTATTCATCCAATCAGATGTGCCTTAGCTTGCCGCCATAAAAAGCACATCGGTATTCATCCTATCAGATGAAGCTCCAAGAACCTGAGATAACAGCAGACGATACCAACATCTCTGGTCTGAACCACAGACATTAGAGGGGTGACCATCTTTGAAGAGGATGTGTATTGCATGGGTGGAGAAATGGGTTGAGGATCCAGTCCCCCTGTACAGTAGCCCTTTGGTACGCTCCAGTGGGTAAATCAGGTCTATTCAAATGTGAGCCTGGAGGTCCGGAGTACTGCTGCTTTTTCTGTTCTACCTGATAATGAATTGCACCACCTGGTGTCCCAGGTCTAAATCAGTCTTATATTAGAGAGGAAGAATGTAAATCAGCAGTGGAACTGGCTTCCAGGTCCAGATTTGTATTTGCCTATAGGGTAGCTAGTGGTGACTGTCTCAGTTGGATGGGATCAGGAGGGTGAAACCGCCGCGGCTCTTCCCGAAGTCTGCGTTGGTCTGGCCGGCCTTGGTCTCCACAGTCACGCTCTTGGGCTTGCCCCGCATGTGCAGCTGGACGGCCGAGCAGCAAACCTTCACTGGGAGTTGGGGTGTTCCTTACACTGAAACACAACACAGCCTGTTAACGCGCTGATAGTTCAATGACAAACGCTTCATGTAGGAGCACAGCACAGTCCCTTATTTAGATATAAGGCAACATCAATAAGTGTATGGCAACATGTCTATAAAAGCAAAGTCAGCATGATGCAAACAGTATTACTATTTGTAACAAGGTCATATATCACCACTTACCGTCTCCTAATTACATGTTGTGATTAGTGTGCCAGAATGTCAGTAAAGGACAGTCAACAGAGCACAGATAGTCTTTCCATTTGTAATACAAGGTTATTATACCCCTTATCTACTTAAGCAATAATGCACGAGGGGGTGTGGTATATGGCCAATATACCACGGCTAAGGGCTGTTTCTTACGCACGACGCAACGCAGAGTGCCTGGACACATCCCATAGCCGTGGTATATTGGCCATATACCACAAACCCCCGAGGTGGTAAGTGCATTATTTGCATTTATCTCAGTATGAATTGATGATACCACTTCATCATATTGCAGAAAAGTGTGTGTGTGTTTATGCTTGTGTTGTTACTGTATCCAACCCTGTATACAGTGCTTGTGTACTGTACTGAAGCTTAACTCACGGCTTCCTTCCTCTGTCACACACCCTATCCCTGGGTTGACAGCTGTCAGGGGAAGAGAGGGACGACAGGGGGAACAGAAGGGGAAGAGAGGGGGAATAGAGGGGGAACAGAGCGGGAAAAGAGGGGGAATACATTTACATTTTAGTCATTTAGCAGACACTCTTATCCAGAGCGACTTACAGTTAGTGAGTGCATACATTTTTTCATACTGGTCCCCCGTGGGAAACAAACCCACAACCCTGGCGTTGCAAGCGCCATGTTCTACCAACTGAGCTACACGGGACAGAAGGGGAGGAGAGGGGAGAGAGACGGATGAGAAGGGGAATAGAAGGGGAACGGAAGGGGGAGAGAGGGGGAGAGAGGGGGAAGAGAAGGGGAAGAGAGGGGGAGAGAGGGGGAAGAGAGGGGGAACAGAAGGGGAAGAGAGGGGAGAGAGACGGATGAGAAGGGGAATAGAAGGGGAACGGAAGGGGAAGAGAGGGGGAGAGAGGGGGAAGAGAAGGGGAAGAGAGGGGGAACAGAAGGGGAAGAGAGGGGGAGAGAGGGGGACGAGAGGGATGAGAGGGGGAAGAGAGGGATGAGAGGGGGAAGAGAGGGATGAGAGGGGGAAGAGAGGGATGAGAGGAGGAAGAGAGGGGTGAGAGGGGGTTAAGAGAGGGATGAGAGGGGGTTAAGAGAGGGACATGGGGCTGTGCATTACACACGTAAAACCGCTAAAACACCAGCCTCTGGTCCCTTCTGCAGTCTGCAGTCTGTCTGTCTCACACTGGTTGGTTTCCCCCTAACCAAACACATTTCTAAGATGATTCATGAAAGAATGACTCAATCAACCATTGATTGATTTAAATCATTTCAGATGATCAACAGCTTGTCAATGAAACCAAACAGATCTCAAACAGACTTGATATGCTGGTTATGCCACCACAGACTGTCTGCCTACACGGTGGTGGATGTCCACTACACTAGATGTGTGTAGAACTATGAATCTTACAGCTAGTGTCACAGCCCCAGTGTGAATGCTGTCAGGACCAATAAACTGTGGACGTGCGGTCCTCTCGCCACCGGCTGGACAGCGGCCCTGTCTGTCCTCCCAGCGCTGTTCTATCAGCTCCTCCTATCCCCACGCGGCAACTCTGTCACCCCCCCCCTGACAAAAATCATCCAGGGCCAAGCCGTGAAGAGACCCCCAGCCTGGCACTAAGTCCGTCCATCCACCCTTGTCATCCATCCCCCCTGCTCCCAACCCAAGTTCCATCCATCCCTCTGGGAATGTTCTGTGGCGGAGGAATGTTTTGTGTGGGAGCGGAGGAGGCCTGGATGGGCAGCAACAATCTTAAGCAGGCTAACTAACATGCTGCATGGCTGCCCCCCAAACCCTCCCTCCAGCTAGCAGGCCCGGCCTCCAATAAGCCCCCTGAAGACAGTGGCTCCGCCGCCACCTCATTTGTCAGAGTGTGGTGCAGGCCAGGCTGGCTTGCTCAAAGGCCCAGGGAGGTGTATGGGGCTGGGGTCAAAATGGAGCAGACTAGGCTGGGAGGACATGTAAGACTGGATGGGTAGATGGATGGATGGGTGGGTGGAGGACGTCTGAGAATAGAGGGAAATGGAGAGAGGTATGTGGGACAGTTCCTTTTCCTCTTCTTTACTGTCCATAATCAAAGGCAGTTCAGGTCATTTATAGACAGGTTTAGATGCTCTCCATGTTTGCTCTGCAAGTCCTCTGCTATTGCTGCTACTATTACTACTGCTCCTGCTTCTAGATTGAAAAGAAGGAAGGCTGTGAATGTATGGTGAGCTAAGCCGTAATCCCCAGTTGTGTGGCGCTGAACTGTCCCACTATGGAGGTGAGAGTGGTTGGGGATGGTGAGTGTGGTGAGTGTGGGTAGCAGACAAATGGTCCGATGATATGCTGATTTGTCCCAATTGACTCAGAGAGAGTGACGTTCATTGTCTCACCCTGAAAGGATGATTGGGTGAGGAGGGGAGGCAGGTAGGCTGAGGGTCTGGAGGAGATGGGGGACGGAGAGATGAAGGAGAGGTGGAGCCGTGGGGTGATTGATGACACTGTGCTGTGAGCCCTCCACATATGTTTCCAATCGGTGACATGAAAAAGCCAGTGGGCCAGTCAGTCAGTCCCTGCCGCGCCAGCAGGAAACTCGAGGAGACAAACTCAAACAGCCTCTCTGGTTACAAAGGTTCCAGCATCACAATCAGCAGCACATCATGGGATGGGGACAGCAGCGATCGCTCGGTTCGGTGCTCTCTGTGACAGGTGTGACAACGGTTGTATTTTAGACACTTTCTGTTTCAGGACTGTTGAGGTTGTATCAGTTCAAGCAGGCTTTTATGGGAGATGTGAGATTTTAGGGAGTGTCTGCCAAGTTCAAAGTCATTGTGTGTGAACATATCTCTGATGAAAACATAGTACCATGAATCATGTGTGCCAGCAAGGCAAAAGTTTATCAAAATTAGTTTAACTTGATAATTATACTGAACAACATTTTTAAGCGCAACAAGTGTTGGTCCCATCTTTCATGAGCTGAAATAAAAGATACATTTTAAATACGCACGAAAAGCTTATTTCTCTCAAATTTTGTGCACAAATTTGTTTACATCCCTGTTAGTGAGCATTTCTCCTTTACCAAGAAAATCCATCAACCTGACAGGTGTGACATATCAAGAAGCTGATTAAACAGCATGATCATTACACAGGTGCACCTTGTGCTGGGGACAATAAAAGGCCATTCTAAAATTAGCAATTTTGTCACACAACACAATGCCAAAGATGTCTCAAGTTTTGAGTGTGCACGCAATTGGCATGCTGACTGCAGGAATGTCCACCAGAACTGTTGCCAGAGAATTGAATTTTATTTTCCCTACCAACGTTTTAGAGAATTTGGCAGTACGTCCAACCGGCCTCACAACCGGAGACCACGTGTAACCACTCCAGCCCAGGACCTACACATCCGGCTTCTTCACCTGCGGGATCGTCTGAGACCAGCCAACTGGACAGCTGATAAAACTGTGGGTTTGCACAATTGAAGAATTTCTGCACAAACGCTAGAGAAGTGTGCTCTTCACGGATGAATCCCTGTTTCAACTGTACCAGGCAGATGGCAGATAGCGTGTATGGCGTCGTGTGGGCGAGAGGTTTGCTGATGTCAACTTTGTGAGCAGAGTGGCCCATGGTGGCTGTGGGGTTATGGTATGGGCAGGCATAAGCGACGGACAACGAACACAATTGCATTTTAATGATCGCAATTTGAATGCACAGAGATACCTTGATGAGATCCTG